TTTTGGAGCTTAGGCAACATATTGTCTATGATTAGATTCATTTGGTCTTGCATACTCCAAGGCAGATCGAGCCTTTTCATAATAGTGAATAACGAGACAGCATATTCGACTACGGGCTCATCAGCGCCTTGCGTACGCAAATGTGACTCAATTGTCATAATTCTTTTATTCCTCCTTAATTTACTGTAGGTCACGAGAGCGGCCTCTTTGAATTCGCGAAAAGTAGTCCACGAGGGCCTTACAGTGCGATACCAAAAGAGTGCTGACTGCTCGAATAAGGGAGTCATAGAGTTTAACAGCTCTCCGTCTTACACTTTATCTAACAATCGGTTTTCTTCAACTCGCTCCAAAAATTCCTTAATGCTCAGTCCTTCGTCTCCGGAAAACTTTATTTTCCACTATCTTACTGTTTTTCCTAGAGGTTTAGTCCTGGGAGAGTATATAGAAGACGTCGTATTCAATGTGGTTGCTTGCTGTAAGCTAGCAGTTTGGCTTCCTATTGGTGCGCTAAGTGTTGCCTGCTGTGTTATGACTCCTGCCGAAGTACTGGGCAGAACCCTCCTCCCCCAGCTCGAGGACACGGGGGTGAACGAGCACGCGAGGGAAGTCACGGGGCCGAGCGACAAAGAAGTACTGGAAGGCGTATGCTTCTCCCAGTGCGAGGATGCAGGAGGATACATTGTAGACAAGGATGACGTAGTCATCGCTAGCGACAATGGCAAGGATCCTTGTGAGAGCATTGCGGAGGGCTGTGTTGACGAATGGAACAACGGCGCTTGGGGATTAAGTGAGGATGGCATAAGAGAATATGCTGTATTACCGAATTGGCTTGAATGGTTATAATAGTTTAGTTCGAAAGTGTCTGCAAATTGAACATTTCTGTTTCGCGTGGACTCTAGGCGTGCCTGCTTCATAGCTTGATGTTGAGTAGTAGATACAACTGATTTTAATTGCTCGTGCAAATCTTGCTGTATTTTGACGGAGTTAACTCGTTCTTGAGTTATTATCCGTTCATACTGTTCTATTTTCGCTGGTGTGTTTTCAATTTCCTTTTCTAAGGCCGACGTATGAATCAGAAAGTGTTTATGTGCCAATAACGCATCAATTTCTACTTGTCAGAGCCTTCGAAGTTTGTGTGCTATGGCGTAAGGCACAACGTGCGTCTTACCGTCTGGCATCACTGTTTGTACGTTATTCATTTATTGAGCTGTGGCTGTATAACTTGCTGTAGAACGGTAATTCGAAGTTGCTACTTTTGTTGACGTGATACTAGTCATTGTTGCTGTTGAAGCTATGTGCTTAGCAGTAGCAGCGTCTTGATTTGATCCGGTATTTTGTGAGGTTAACTGCCGAGGTCTTGGCAAACATCTATCATAAGCTATTTACTTGTGAGCTAGTTAAGTCTCTCACCCAGTTTGACAATTTTTTATCAATATCTTCTTTAAAAATTGATAAGTCACTTAGTGACCAATTTGTCGCCATATTGTACGTACTCAAATTGACAATTTACCTACGAGACAATCGAAAGACTTGTTCAATGAAAGCGAAAAATGAAAAGTACGATTATTAGTTCAAAATAAAATATATTAAACAATTGTTAATTTATTAATTGATTACATTAATAAAAGTTACTAAGTTAGATGTACAATTGCAATTCAAATAATTATATACTAATCATTTATATCGCAAGCAGTAAGATTGTCAACAAAAGAAAATATTTAATGATGTTATACATTGTTTATTATGCTTACAAGTAAACGCAGAGATGAATTAACTGATAGCTCGCTGCTCACAAATCAACTTATAATATAATATAAATCACACTAAGGCATAGCCTATGCAATGTTTACATAAAGAATATATAGAAGAAATAATAAATTTCTATCTGTATATTGGCTAGGTCGGCAATCGCGCTATGATATGCCAACATGTAACTTTATATGTATTTATGATTTTCGAGCATATTGGTAATTTCAAAAATATGCTCGATTCTCAATACAAACAATAGCTTCGAGAATATACGTTTCTGTAGCGACGAAATTATAGAAGTTTATACTTTGCTATTTGATAGCGAACGTTGCACATGTGGCTTGCCGCGCGGCTTGTGTTTACAAACAACACCCTATGAGCGAACGCGCATTCCTTGTCCTTCCTAGAATTCGACTTTCTAAAACTTTCATCTCGGTAAGATTTTCGCTGCGCACGCCAGCATCATAGCGTTTGGCAGCCTAAATGTAACGGGGATTTAGACCGCTACAATATATTAATTTAATCGAGATCAAGTAGTGGCTGGCACAATTGCAGCTCTTCACGGGATTACGTTCTGCTACGTAAGACCTGCCTGGTAGGTCAGATCGCCAACTGACCGGAGAGCATCGTGGGTCGTGCAGCTTAAATCGCGAAAGTTGAGGGAAGCGATAGGAAGGAAAGGGTAGTCCAAAAGAAAAGCCATGCGGTTTTAGTAGTATACAAATATATATCTATAGGTTATGTACGTGTTAGTGTACAGAACGGTTCAGAGAGAGCGGTGAGATAGGCAAAGCGAGAGAGAGATTCAAAAAACGGTCGGTACTTACATTAGTCGATGCCTCTCAATTACGATTCCGTAAGTGTGCCGAATTCATCTATTTGAATAGTCGCTTATAACGAAATAGAGGAGGTGTTGCACGCACAGTTGCACCTCACTAACCAGTCACAAACAAGGTTTACTCTCTAGTCACGAGGCAATTCACAAAGAAAAGTTAATTAAAGTATAGGCACGTCCGAATGCCTCTGCACGGCTCGCGAGATATCGGCTAATTGCCGGCCCTTCGTCACGCGGCGCGCGGCGCGCGGCTCGTCACATATATAGTTATGCCTACACGCGCACGCGGTCTCTCTCTGCCGGAACTCTCGCTCACCTTGTTCTTCGCAGTCGTCGTCTGCTGCTGCTAAGGAGAAACATAATTCAAATAATATAACTATATAGATATATGATATTCTTAATATTATCGCCGTAGAGAGAGAGAGAGAGACATAACGAGTTGACATCAAACTCGTTATAAAATTAAGATGAAGCTAATGGTATATTTTTTTTTTAAATCAATCATTTTTCTGCTAGGGTCATCTCGATATAATTATATCTAGAACGTAATACTGAATTGAAATTCCCAGAGCAAATTCAACAGAATGGAAAAAGTTGAGTCGGTTCATGAAAATGTTGAAAGTAATTGTGAAACAATGTAAAAGTATGTTTAATTATTAAAATTTTATAGATCGATATTTATTGTTTTTAATTCTTTTATAATTTAGATATTACAGGTCTGAACCAAATGCTGAAGTGTCAAAACGTACTGCTGACGATAACAGTAACATAAAGCCAACTCTTTATATTCTGTTCAATTTGCTCTAGAAATTTTAATTCAGCATTACGCTTTAGACATTGTCTAGCTATAATAAAAAATTAAAAATGTTTCAAACAAGAATTATAATTTACTAAATTTACCATATAACCTATGGACTTACAGAGCTCAAATAACAATAAACTAATTAGGATTTGACAATTTATGACATGTATACATTTTTCTTAATTCTTGGCCAATTCCATCTCAGATCATGCAGAGCTCCCCACACACCTGTCACCAAGCTACTCCAAAGTATTTTTTTTATTGTTTTAGGTCAAAAATAAGAGGACCCGTATTTTTTCTTTTTTTTCTCAGATGCATAGTTCCGTCAATAATGCAATCGGAAAATGCACTGCTGAAAAGGGAAAATTGAGAAAATTTTTCCAATTAAATTTGGTTTCCTCAATATTTTTTTTATTTTTCGATACAATTAAATAATTTTTATGTCATCTATAGTAGAAACGAAGTTCTTCAAGTCTAATTTATCAAAAATATGAATGTATGCATTTTTCGGGAGAAAATGCATGTTTTCGAAAAAGTGCATCTTGGAGAAAAAATTGTGTATCTCAAAAAGGCCATAATTTTTTGCGCTCAAATTTTTTTTATATATTCTTAGTACCAATACCTTCAAATCCATTCGATCAAAATTTGCTGTTTTTTCGTTATATCGCTTAAAAAAATTAAAAAAAAAAGTTTTACATTTTCAAGTCAAACGCGATAAATACATAGGTACAGCGAATGGAAATCAAAGCTGAGAAAGAAAGGGTGACGTTAAATTATCAACATTTGCTGATGCATATAGGTTTTTTTTTTTTTCTCCAAGATGCACTTTTTCGAAAACATGCATTTTCTCCCGAAAAATGCATACATTCATATTTTTGATAAATTAGACTTGAAGAACTTCGTTTCTACTATAGATGACATAAAAATTATTTAATTGTATCGAAAAATAAAAAAAATATTGAGGAAACCAAATTTAATTGGAAAAATTTTCTCAATTTTCCCTTTTCAGCAGTGCATTTTCCGATTGCATTATTGACGGAACTATGCATCTGAGAGAAAAAAGAAAAAATACAGGTCCTCTTATTTTTGACCTAGAACAATAAAAAAATACTTTGGAGTAGCTTGGTGACAGGTGTGTGGGGAGCTCTGCATGATCTGAGATGGAATTGGCCTCTTTAAAAAATAGTATGAGAATATAAACTATATTTGTTAAAATACCTCTTTTATTGAACTTTTGCTCTTATTACTTGGCTACATATTGAATTGTACTTGAACATAAATAATCAGTACGTCCCGAGGCTAACATCAATTTATATCAAACAATAGCTTCATATTGTACAAGTGACAATTTTCTTATTTTCCCTCTTTTAAACAAAACGTAATTGAAACGCGGAATTCGGACAAGGTATGATGATAAAACAGCCACAAATGTACAACAGACCTCGATGCGTTACGAATAGGAAAAAAAGAAGTTTAGGATCGGTGACCGAATACTCATCACTGTGTACGTCAGCTTCGGCGCTCTGACCAACATGAGGCGCTCGAATCAGTAATTTTGGTCGGACCAAAAGCAATGCCATCACTGCAATCTCCCTAGTCAGTTCTTACTAATCTGTGGTATAAGTGTATAAACACTGGCATTAGTAAATAGACATTATCATTAATACTTATTAATATTTGTTAATATTTTCAATAATTTTTTGTTAATTTAATTTAAAGAATTTGATATTATTTATCATTCTTTCATACACTTTTCATTCATTTTTAACCTTATAATAATTAAAATTTATATCGTAATTTTGGTACGAGCTAGAAAATTAATCATGCTTAGTTTTTATAAATCATCTGTCACCAAATTTTTATGGCCTATTACATGCACTAAAAATTGTATGTTTACTTTTTCATATAAACAAAATAATGAGACGTTCATGTTTTACAATCCAGAAGTTAGACCTTATGTTTCAAATACCTGTTGTCATAATGTGTTTAATAAGTTTTATTTAAAACCTCGACAAATTTGGTTAGAAAATTTGGATACAATTTCAGAGCAAAAAATAGGATTAATAACTTTAAATCCAGATATCTTTGGAATGCAACCACGTATCGATATAATCCATGAAAATATACAATGGCAAAAGCTGTTTCAATTTGTGGTCTGTATAAATTTTGATGTGTATGTGTGTATATAAAATAATAATATAATAATGTAATATAATATTTATTTTATTTTGCTCATTTTCAGTCATATTCTAATACAAAAGTTCGGTCTGAAGTTAGAGGTGGTGGTCGAAAACCATGGCCACAGAAAGGTCTAGGCAAGGCAAGACATGGAAGTATAAGATCACCTCTTTGGCGTAAGGGTGGTGTTGTACATGGACCTAGATCTCCCACACCTCATTTTTACATGCTTCCATTTTATGTACGAGTTATAGGTTTAGCAAGTATTTTTTCAATAAAGCTTGCTCAAGATGACTTACATTTAGTATCAAAATTAGAATTTCCTAATAATGAATCTTTGTTTATTAAACAATTAATGAAAAAAAGAAATTGGGGCCCATCTGTTCTTTTTATTGATGATAACAACATAGTGTCAAAGAATGTTGCTATTGCAACTGCTTCATTAGAAGAAATTAATATAATATCGGTTTATGGTATGTCATATATTTTTTATATTATATACTGTGAAATTATTTAATTATCTTACCATATGTTTGTTATTTGATATTCTATACATGTAAATATTTGTATATTAATTAGAGACATTAATTTTTACATTTATTCTACAAAATAAATCCAATCTATCATTAGCACCACATATTTAATTAAAATGATTGTGCTATTGACTTATGTATTTCTTCAACTAGTTAACAAATAACTAAGAGTTTTCTATTTTTTTATATAGGTAGGATTTCATTTGATTTATTTACATTTGAATGTTCTAGGAAACATTATATAATTAAAATCCATACTTTGCAAGTATATTCTTTAGTAAGTTTAATCTCTGTTGAATAAATTTAATGTCATATTCGAGCTCATGAGCTAATTTATCTGACAAATTTTCTATATGTTTTTAATATATACAAAATATTTTTATATTCATTAGTCATATATAAGGTTGTGTAATTTAAGTTATATAAGAATGGAAAATGAGATTGGATAAAGTATAAAAAGATGATACAGAAATGCACTTTAAGTTTTTTTAATAGAGATCTTGATTATTTTATTGTATAATATTTAACTATTAATAAATATATATTAGAGATTACAATTTATGAGGTATTTTACATTTTATATATGTCAATTTTCAATAGCTTATAGAATTAAGTTTGCAAACATATAGGACTATTTTATATAATAAAATTTTGTACTCATGAATTACTTAAAGAATTTTCATTTCATTTCAGGTTTAAATGTTTACAGTTTGTTGAAGCATGACACAGTTGTGATAACAAAGGCAGCTTTGGAAATAATTGAAAATAAGTTACTTTATCAACTACACAGAATTGATTCAAAAAACATTTCAAAACAATTTAAAATGTAGTTCAATTTACTAGATAAAAATATACTAGAGCTTTATAATTTACAATAATAAAATTACAATATTATTTGAATATACCATTTTTAAATTACTATTTTTTTTAATATTAATCAATTCATTAACAATGTAGAGTTATCTCATAAAAGTAATTAGTAATCCTATATAAATACCCTCGTATAATTACCTATCATTCCCCCGAATGACAAATTACCCGAAAGTAGTACCCCGAATGATAAATTCTCTGAAAAAATTTAAATCCCCCGAAATTGGTATCTGACGCTCAATTGTTATAAATAAACAGTCTTCTAACCTCGGTCGGGGCAGAGGGCACAATAAATTTTTTGTTAGTCAAAATTTTCAGTGGAAGGCACAATAAATTTACATACGTCAACGGTGTACCAGCAAGAGGCAGAAGGAGAGCTGTACCAGCAAGGTACCCAATCTGCCTGCGGAATCAGTACGATGCGACCATAGAAGGGCAAACAAGAACGAACAACGTGTCAGAGGGGTGGCACAACCGATTCCACTTGCTGATGGCAAAAAACCACCCTGACTTATATTCTTTCATAAGTTATGAAAGAACAGGGAGACACAGATATATCGGTCGTTGAAGTTTCACTGGGACGGAAAATTAAGGCCGCTCCGAAAAAGAAGTGGGTTGAAGCTCAAACAAGAGTACAAAGAATCATTGTGAATTACGAAAATTATGAAATTTTGGATTATTTGAAAGCTGTTGGACAGACCATTGTATTATAAAATTGATATAAATAAATTAAGTATAAAATTATATAAAAATATATTATATATAAATAAAATTTTTCGGGGGTTCGGGGACATGATTTTCGAGAAATAATTGATTCGGGGGATTGTTCATTCGGGGAGATGCTTTCGGGGGAATGATCGGGAATATCTATCCTGCTAAAAATGTTTCATTACAAAGTATTAAAGTCGATTGAATTTTAATAAATTTTAATTGATTTTAATAAAATGGATTGTTTTCAATAAACGCATTAATTTTTAATCACATCCTATTTGAATAAATTTGAATACCATTTCTATAATTAATATTAATGAATCATTAATAACAATTAATAATTTTCAATATTTCTTTATCACACATGTTATTTAATTAAATTGAATCAAATAGATATTAATATTTTCTAAGAGTTTTGAATAAAAGAACTACTCAAACATATTTTATTTAACAGATATTAATAAATTTCTATGTATGTGAAAAGAATGAGCTGTTTAATAACTTCGAATGCATTTCAATAAGCTGGTGATGTTAGAATTTTCAATCATATAAGGTGTGACAATTAAGTAATGAGACTGATTTCATAAAAATCGTATATTTAAAAATTATTCTACAACTCTGCCATCCCCTTCAAAGTAGTCCCCTTGGGCAGCTTTTCTACGATTCCAGCGCGTTTTCCATGCTTCGTAACATTTCTGGAACGCTTCGATTGGGATGTCCGCGAGTACCCTCGTCACGGCTGCCTGGATATCCGTAATCGACTTAAAATGCGTTCCTTTGACCACCGATTTTGTTCTAGGAAACAAAAAAAAGTCACAGGGTGATATATCAGGTGAATAAGGCGGCTCTTGCAACACGGCGATCTCTTTAGAGGCCAAATATTGGGACAGGCTGGTGTGGCACGGTGCGTTGTCATAATGAAGGATCCAGTTACGAGCGATGTCTGGGCGTACCCTATTGACACGGTTTCGCAATCTTTCCAATAGTTGGTAATACCAGTCTTGATTTCCGGTTTGCCCCGATGGAACAAATTCTTTGAGGATGATTCCACGGCTATCAAAATCATTTTTGGGGTGGGGGGGGGGGCATGCGGAGACAACTATTGTGAGTTTTGGCGTTTGGTTCCCGGGTCGTATTGGAAAAACCAGCTCTCATCGCCTGTAATAATTCGATCAAGCAGCGTGGGATCATTTTCCACTTGTTCCAAATAGTTTTCTGCGACGGTCATTCGATGCTTCTTTTGCTCTCAGAAAGGTTCTTTGGAATCATCTTCGCGCACAATTTTTTCATCCCAAAATCGTCGGTTAAAATTTATCTGACTTCACGGTCATACCTAGTTCCGAGGCCAATATTTGAACTGTAAAACGCCGATCTTCACGGATTAGGGTGCGCACACGCTGTGCATTCGCGTCTGTTAGCACCTCGACTAGTCTCCAGCTCCGTGCCTCGTTTTCCACACTTTCACGCACTTCCTTAAACTCTTTATGCCATCAAAACACCTGGGCATGACTAAGAGCACTATCATCATGCACTTTTACAATTTCAGCGTACGATTCCAAAGCTGTTTTGCCTAATCTGGCGCAAACTTTTATCGCGACGCGTTGCTCTTGATTTCGTTTCTCCATTTTCGTGACGAGCATCACCAACACACGTTTACTTAACACGACACAGCAGGTGAACTAAACAAACTAGAGCGATGGTAAATATATCAAGGGAGAGGGGAAGAATGCTGGGGAATTGGGAGGGAATTTCAAGGTCGCAGATTTACCACAAGCGCGGCAATAAAATCAGTCTCATTACTATATTGTCACACCTCGTAATTTGTTGAGTGCTGTTCTATAAAATTCAATGCGTTTTAATAGAACATTCTAACCCAAGTAACACGATTCGGTTTGGAAACGTTGTAGCAACCGTAAATTTGGAACGGAGCAACGAATGCGGAAACCTTGTAGGAATGTTGCAGCGCAGTTGCTGAAACCTCCTATAAGTCACTATTGTCTCGGCGAGCCAACAAACGACGAAAAAAAAAGAAAAAAAAGACGATTAAAACAAAGAAAGCAGAGCTCGCGGAAATGAGAGAGTGCAATACTCTACCGATGTTTGTTCAGCTTTTATTTTGTTCAACGATGGAGTTTTTGTCTGTTTGCGATCAGTTTATCAATCAATATAATAATAAGTCAAAAAGTAGTGGAAAACTCCAACAAACTTGTGAGAGTGAGATATTTAGAAGACAAAGACCGAGGAAAATTTGATATTGTTGATATAATCGATAGATTTTGGAAATGCAATTTTCAAACATGCGATTTTAACAAGTTTCACAAATACAAACTTAAATCAGATAATTTGAATAAGTTAACTAAAGTACAAATCATTTCGATCACTGGTACACAGACACACACGCACACGCACACGCGCACACACACACACACACACACAGAACCCTCCTATCGTCGGTCGTAAGCTCGGTAATTCTCTACGGAGCTCCTATATGGGCAGATGCGCTAAAGAAATAATGCAAGCTACGGAGGGACGTGTCGAAGAGCCTGCAGAGCAGCAGCGTTACGAGTTGCCCGTGCATACCGAACTGTATCGGACATTGCAGTCTCGGTAATCGCTGGAATAGCGCCTATCGACCTACTAGCATGCGACAGAGCAGAAATATACCGTGAAGGAGGTCGTAACGAAGAGAACAATGGTGATAGACATGTCCACAGCAAACGGTGGACGCAAAATTTAATGCGAGAATGGCAGAGAAAATGGGACAACGCAGTGAAAGGTCGCTGGACTCATCGCATCATCCCGAACATTGACAAGTGGACAGGCAGGCGCCACGGACACCTCACCTTCCAACTGACACAGGTGCTCATCGGTCATGGCTGCTTCCGCAGTTATCTCCAACGCATCGGTGTCTATGCGAGTGCCGAATGCCCAGCCTGTCCAGGCACTGACGAGGACGTAGAACATGTCCTATTTGTGTGTCCCCGCTTCGCTGAAGAACGGATGCATTTCCGCACGGAGTGGAATGATCCAATGAGTCCCGAAGGGCTCGGAGCTTGCCTGCTCGGCTCGCCAGAGGGATAGGAAACGGTAGTGACCTTTGCCACGTCAGTGATAAACCGGCTGACCGAAGTAGATAGATAGATAAGAATTTATTCACCGTGATGGCAAAACATAAAATACAATAATATATAAATATATACAGTAATTGTCACAGCTTTAGTTTACATTATGCCGTACCGGCATCACATTTCATCACAGTTCGATTACAATTTTAGTTCCTCAGTCAATAAATAAAATTATGATTGTGGTTATTACATTAAAATAAATAGACTAGGATTTGACTAGTTCACAGTTCGATATTCCAGAGGAAACAATAATTCTTATCACTACAGTCTAGCTTACTTATAACTAGTAATGCAGTCAAAAGTTTAGGCTAGTTTTCGTCATACAGACACAAAACAGCACAAAAAATAAATAAATAAATATAATTCACTACAACACGAAAATAAATAACTGTATAAACATTTATACAGTAATCTAATACAAATAAAAATACTCCAGAGGTACCACCCTACGCCCTCAATGACGCAAAGTATCCGCGCGCCCCCCTCTTAAAGCTGCTAAGCGACGGCGCGTGCCGCAGGTCAGATGGAAGAGTGTTCCAGAGATGGGCACCCATCACCTGGAAAGACCTGCGAGCCGTCTCCGTTCTAACCTTAGCAACTCTAAGCTCAGCCTGTAGTAAGAAAGGAGGAAGAGAGAAGACGCGACAGGTCTATCATGCATAGATAGAGCGAGGTGCCAGACTATGGGACTAAAAAGCGCTCCTAAACTACCACAGAGTAGTTGGTAAAGCGCGGTCACCCCATCCAATGCAGAGGAACGGAGGATCTAGGGTCACCTATGTCCATAGGATAACAAGGCGCCAGCCTATCCTAAGCGCTCCCCTGCCTTTGCGGGAGAGTAAAGGACATTGGGTTGAGCCCAGACTCCCTCACCTGATACAGAGGAACGTAGGTGACGAGGTGGAGTCTGTCCAGAGGATGACCGGACGATGCCGATAGAAGAAGACGACCGGACGATGCCGTTGGAAGAAGACGTGTAAATCGATGCCGTAAGAAGAAGACGAGGCTAACATAGCCGAAGACGATGAAGATCGAAGAAAACGACACAGCCGAAAGGTAATGAAGAAGACAAGGCTAATATAGCAGAAGCCCCCCCGCGAAGTAATGCCTAGCGGCGGTTCCCGCGGAGGATACAGACAGGACATAGAGAGATGGGAGTTTAGTCGGTATACCATGCTTAGGGATTCCCACACAGGACGAGCCGGAAGGCCGTTACGTGCATAAAGCATTCTCCAACTCTCTTTAATAAAAAAAAAAAAAAAACACACACACACACACACACACACAGACACAGACACAAGCCTTTTAATTAAGATATTAATTTTTGAATGTAATTGTTCTTATAAACTTATAGTTTTATTTACAGTATATAAGAATTATACTTCATATCTCAGAGAAATACATGCACACACATATACAAGAAAAATTGCAATTGAATGAATATATTAAAAATATAAATACAATATTAAATTAATATATTAAAAATATAAATACAATATTTTATACAATATAACGGTAAACGTTACATTCGCACATTCGTCTCGTCGATGGTACTGCCCGTGGAGGCAGCACCTACCGACTATGGAAGTAGGGCTCGCGTCGCGTACCTCGGAGAAAAGAGAGAGATACGCAGAAAGGAGTCGTGTAGAGATTGCCCTTGGACACGCACGCTCTCTTTGAGTTTCGGATTCTCGAACTTCGACGTCGGACGAACGCGGAGGCTACCGTGTGCGTTATTCCCTCCCTAAATGATAGAAAGATATCCTGAGCGAGCATCAGAAGGTACGAGA